TTTTGACCAGTCCTCTGCATCCAGAGGAGTGTAGTGACCACAGATTTCAGTCTCTTTGCTGTACTAATCAAGACATACTCTCACTTGCTTGCACGCACTCTCATTCTGACATCCCCTTGTCAGTTCTGCCACTAACTCGTTTAAAAAGCCCCCTTTCCTCTTCTGACTTCTGCTCCTATGAGGTAAAGAAAGAAGAAATCCTAAGTCCTGTGCTACCCTGGTGGACAGGGCACAGGTCAGCAGCGGGGAAGGGCTGACTAGAGACACCCTCTCCCTCATCTTCACTGGTCCTCACAATTTAGGTCTCTGGGGCTGACCAGTAGTCCTGGTATCCCAGTAAGAAAGGGTCCTTCCTTGAAGCTGACCTAAGCAAGGATCCTGAAGACATCTGCTTGCAAAAGGAGAAAGTCAATAGTGGCCGGGAAGATGTCTGGAAGCAACAGCTCTGCCCAGACTGCCTGTAGGATCCTAGGGCACTAGAACCTTCCAGACATCCTCCTGGCCACTACCGAGGCCAGCCTTGTGATCTGGGATCCTCTCCGTTATGTTATTTGAGATGATTTCTTCCTGCCAGCATCAGGCCAGGTGCCCTGGACCTTGGTAGCCAAGAATAGGCTTCAAAAGGCTAAGTGGAAGGTGACCATCTTCAAAGGGCTCTCAGACTTCTCAGAAAGCTTTGGCACACAGTCCTGACCTCAGGTCAGTTTCCTGCAAATGAACTTGAGATAGCTCCATGAGGGAAGGGACCATGTCTGTCTGGTTCACCACAGTATCACTGACAACCCCTAGCACAGGGCTGGAATACATCTGCCCTGGTGCTCAATACTGATTGACTGGATTTATGTATAACTGTCTCTACCAAGGAAGGAACAAATGCTCAGTAGAAAGAGTCCAAGATGTAGAGTCAGACAGCCCTGAATTTGAAACCTGCTAGCTACACCATTTACATCGGCCATGTGCAAGCCACTTTACCCCTCTCAGACTCAGCTTCCTGTCTATACAGTGAGGATAATACCAGCTTCAAAGCATTGTTAAGAGCATTAGACAGAATTGTATGTGAAGCCTTTAGCACAGTGCTTGGGAGACAGCACTTCTTTGTTTTCAGTTCACAAGCACTTACATACCTCTCACTATATGCTAGATACAGTTCAAACACTGCAGGGGGTGGTGGTGTTCCAGGTAACAATTAGTTCATTTAATTCTTCTAACAATCCTACACAGGAAGATCTATGTAATCCTCTTTTTCAGTTGAGGAAATTGAGACAGAGAAGTAAGGTAACTCGATCAAAGCCTGATATCTAGAAGTGCAGGGCCAGGATTCATATTATTTATAGAGTCCAGATTGTTAAGTGCTATACTTCTCTGCCTCTACAGCAAGCAACAAGTGAAGGTTAGTTCCTGTCCCTGCCCTATTTGATTATGGGGTATATCTGACTGGGGTTTTCAGTGCAAAAGAAACATATTCAGGTGTTCCTGTGGTTTGCTATTTATTTTGTTTTGTTTTAAACAACGGCCTGCTCCTCTGAAATCCAATTTTGGATAAGTTTATTGATAAAGAACTTCCATCTCATCTTGTCCTCTTGCAATCTCCTCTCCCATGATCTACCAGGAAAAGAGACACACACAGCTATGTAAAAACAAAAAATGAAAAAGACAAGCACAGAGAAAGAGAGAGCCCAAGAGAATGAGCACACACACCCTTAGGAACCAGGTCTAACGACATCTCATACCTCTTCTAGTAATCCATAAAAACGACTGCCTACACATAAGGGTGCCCACAGCATAAGCCACCTATCCACATGGAGCCCAAACACATAAAGTTTCAGCTCCCCAAAGACTAAGTTAGCAGAAAGCGAATGAAGCCATCTCTTCCAGTGGCCAAAACCTCATCATAAAGAGAGTTTTCCTTTTATCTCCTTTATAAGACTGCATTTGCCCTACTGCCAACCATGAAGGAAATTTCATTACCAAAATAAATCACTTGACCTTGCTTCTCCAATGGCTCAGGATTAGTGACATCACAAAACACTCTACAAATGCTCTGAAATATAGGAATAACCCTTTCAAGTAAAAAACACTTGGTATTTCACTAAAAGACTAAATCATTTTATTTTACTGCACGGAATTCAAAAATGCTTTAAATGCTTTCATTTTCAAAATCCTAAGAGAAAAAGTACGCTCTTTAAGGCCTTAAGAAACCCTGACTCCTGGTCTGGTTTTTGTCCCAATTCATGTATGGTAAGATGGGGAACAGGCCAAAAGTCCAGGACAGTACTCTGGCCCCACACTACTCATATGATTCAATTCTCGAGTGGCTGGGGCCTCACCGTGAAGGCTCCCAAGTCAACTTTCTCTCATCCTCCAAGTCACAGGCAGGTCAGAGGCAGCTCCCAAGCAGTTCTTCTTAAGGGGTTCAGTCTCCACCACCAACAGCCCCATTAACCACCATGGTTCCCTTCCAAGGTAGCAGTAGAAGCAAAGCTCCTCATGTCGACCAGAGAGACAGAGTTCAGGGCGGATGTTTCCTCCCCAGGGAAGCTGCCTGGAGCTGGGGGTGGCTGCAGCACAGTGCAGCCAATGCATCTTCTGAGCCCCAATTAGGATACACACTCCCCCAGGCTGTATACTCCACTTGCTGAAAAATCCACAACCAGTAAGTCTGTTCTTTCCAAATGAGTTAAAATTCCTAATGCTGCTTGCTCAAAAGGAATGTCCCATTTTAAATCAGGTTAGCCACCAACACAGTCACTAAATGTGCTGCTGAGTTAAGGTGAAAAGAATCCATACATCAAAACCATGCACACTCAGGAAGCACTCAGAATTTAAGTTATGCTGGGTACTCAAGACAGGCTAGGCTCCCAAGCAGCACCATATGGGTCAAAACTGACCCTCTTGCTCAGTGACAAGAAACAAAACCATGGCATCACAAAATGCAAGAGTCCAAAGGACCCACGGACATCATCAACTACTTTACCATCTTATTTTACACAGGAGAAAACTGAGACCAAGACCAAGGGTAAAATGTTCAAGTTCACTGTTGATACAACTACTCACATCCAAAGCTTCTCTTTGTTCTTCCTAGCCTGCTGCCTCTGAGACCCAATTACCAACAAGAGCTCTTATACAATTATTTTCACATAAAAATATTTTTATAATTGAATTATAGGCAAATTGGTTAAATCCACCAGGGCTGTTGTCTATAAAGTAAAATCTCAATGGAGAACAAAACAAAACTGGAGTTGACAAAAGTTAACGTGGGGTTCTCAGTCCCAAAACCTTACTCCTGAAAGGACAGGACCTTTCCCAGTATTTCCTGTGGGAAATGAAGTACAGTAGTTATGCCCAACTGGGATTTCTAATACTATGCCTTTGTTTGAAATTGAAACAATTTTTGGGTAAGCAAATGAGAGTTGTACAAGGTCCCAAAGTTACCCTTTACTACCCATAATAATTCATCTTCAAAGAAGCTTCAAAGATTCAAATGCTTTTCTCTGCCTTTAAGAAAGGGAGGAGCTACATTTTCAGGTATGAAAACAAGACCACAAAGCAAATAGCCAGGCTGAGGAAGAAGAGACCAGGAAAGATCCAGACATACAGAAAATCTAGGGCCCTGAAACTCTCTTCCCATAGTAGCATTTCACCAGCTACGAAGAGGCTTCCCTGGCTACAAAGGTTATTATGGGAACATAAAACAAATGCTGAAGGCTTGGGTCTCCTCCTCCCCTGTGTGTGACAGGCTGAGACTCCAATGCCGCAGAAAGCAAAATTTTCCTTGTTTCCATTACATCATCCAAGTTGGAGAGGAGGAGGGCAGGGTGGGGGCACAGCTGGTGGCAGCTGCACCACCATCTGCTTTCTCCTTAGCAGTGTGTGCTGGTTGAAGCCACAGTCTCTTACAGCTCCTGATAGAGGAAGTACAGTATTAAAGGTACAACACCCTATTATGAAAAAGACTTCAAATTGTTTAGAAATAATCACTCCCATGATAAGTTAACAACTTCAGGTAGACTACTGAGCCAGTTCTCTTTGAGTTTAGGTTATTTGTGTTTGCATCTTTTTAGACTCAGCTACAGTGCGAACTCTGTCAACTCAACGTGCTCAATTAGACAATCAGAATGTTCAAGCAGCCACACCTGCCATCTGCTTCCCAAAAGGTAAGCAGCCAAAAAGTACAGGTCTGCAGCTGGAAGCATTTATGGAAGGAAGTTGGGGGTGCCCAAACCCAGCAGGCAAGACCCAGACCGGCAGGTGGATCCTTACTGCTGCCCTTGGCATCCCGAGCCAACTAGTCAACAGGTCTCTCTCTCCTGAGCACTCTTGGTGTTTCCTTCAGAATGCCCTTCAAGGCAACCCCCAAAGCAGGGGAGATGGTGAGAGTGACAGGGGTGCTAATGCCTTGCCTGATCATTCAACTGTAAACTGGCAGCAAAGCAGCAAATTGGTGGCTCAGAGGCTGATCAAGCCCATGCACATGCTTTCTCTGGCCTGTACAGAGTTGCTTTAAAAAAAATGCTGGCTTTTTAAAAAGAGTAGACTTCATATAAGCATCTAGAGGGCTGGCTCTTCTTCAAGGAGGCTGGGGGGCAATCAAAGGATTCGGCAGCACCAGGCCCCCATTCCTAGTGGCATCAGTTATCTAGAGGTAAGCGGCAGTGCTTCCTTGCGATCTGGTCTGTGTTCCAAAGACCTCCTCCCCACCATCTGGTGTCTGTACATGCCACTGCAACTATTTATGCTCCTGCCTGGACCCCTAGAGCTTCTGATGTAATGCTGCTATACATGTAGAAGAAGAAGAAAAGCCCAGGGGGTGATTTCCCAAAGGTCCTTTATTGACTCTCCTTTTTCGTTGAGGGTTAGTCCTTTTGGATGACCCACGAAAATTCTACAAATATCATTCAACCCCATACAATGAATGGCTCTTGCTGGAAGACCAGCTACAATCTATCCCCTACCACAACAGCAGGTTGTAGTATTTCAAAGGAGTGTTCCAGGCCACTTACCATACATTTTGCCTTCGTCTGATAAGATGATTTTTCTCCTCCCACATGGCGGATAGATAGCCAGGGCCTCCTGAAAGCTTTGCTCAATGTCAGGGCTCCAGACCCCTTCTGCATCATTGTCAATTGGCTTATCTGCAGAGTCACTCATCCTTTCCATGTTTTCGGCAGGGCTCTCGCTGCCGCTCCAGCTGCTGGGCTCAATTTTGGCGGTGGGATTTTCCAAGCCGAAGCCTGGAGCCTTTTCAAGAAAATAAACCTAGAAGAGAAAACAAAAAACAGTGTAAGGATGTGGTAACCACAAACATAATGCTCTTGCTAGCTCTAGTGCAAGTTCTTCAGTCACCAGCTTTTTTTATTTCATTTTATTATTTCAGTCGTTTTGGGGGTACAGGTAGTTTTGTGTTATATGGTTAAGTTCTTTAGTGGTGATTTCTGAGATTTTGGTTCAGTCACCAGCTTTGCTTGGAGAACTCCTAGTGGAGAATACGGAATTTTGAGATCCAAGTGGCTTTATTATCTAAGTATCATGTTAAGCACCCACACGGAAATGCAACAGTGGGCAGAAGCTGGATAATCTTCACAGTCAAGAGGAAATTTATATGGAAGAATAGTACTCACTCGGAGTTCCAAGTTTGCAGTGATTCATACAAAAACCATTTACTGATTGCCCACTATCTACCGGGGCACTATGCTAAATGATCATCAAATCTCCAAAGCAGAACAAGTTATTTATAAGAAAATAAAGTTTTTAAAATGTCCACTTCACCATGGCAACTGGCATTATAACTTGGAAACTGTTCGTTTCACTATCCCAATATGAGATCATCAAGATACAAGATGGTGGCAGGATCAAGGAGGGAAAGAGGAAGATTATTTTGGTATCACACATACTCATTCTACCGAGACAGCAACACCGACTGATCTGGACCTATGTCATTTATCTCTGAGGCTTTTACCTTATAGAATCAGGCCACTTTGCCTCTCTCAGCTCCTAGACTGTAACCTTGAAGCAGGGACCAAGCTGTCCCCAGTCCTGACTTCCCTGCAACATCTATCACAAGTGCCTAGCACATCTATGGAAATATTCTCTATTGACATGGAGCACTCCCTGTCGTAGCCTATGCTGAATTCCTGATCACATGAAAACTGTGGGGGAGTATTTCATTTCTTTTTCTGTAGCACTGAAGATTATAGTACCAAAAAGAAAACCTCCCAAAGATCTATTCCCCTCAAAGTATGCATATAACCTATGGTCATAAAGGGATAAGCTTTCCAAACAAATGTCAAACTGGCATAACACCAATGTGAAAATGATCTAATCCAGTACTCCCTACTGTCTGGCACACTAACATATCAATATTCCTTTGTTGAAAAGGCACAGGATCATTCATTGAAAGGCCTTCCAAAATTGGGGGAGAAAGGCTTGATCGAAAAGAGGAGGCCGAGGGCCTGAGTAGGGAGGGCTTCATGTGGCCACAGTTTCCCCCCTTCTCGCCCCATCAAGTCCAGGCAGTATTACATACGGACACCCAGAAGGGAAGCAGGTGCTGGTGGTCCCACCTGGCACCAGGGACTGCTCCCTGTTCCAGGGCCATTCCCTGACAGCAAGCAACCTGTCTTCTTCCCCGCTCTCTCCCAACTGTATCCTGTGCCCCTGTCGTCCCCGACCTATCAACAGATGCTAGGTGCAGAAACTCTGAGGCACATGAATATTATACAATTAATGGTATAACTATAACTAGTGGGCACTTTTGGCTTCTTCCCTTCCAGCTTTGTAGACCTGGCAGCACCTGGATTAAACACACACACACACACACACACACACACATACACACACACACACACAAAACCCTCTGGTTGTCTGCCTTTAAATGCTGCTACTGAGCCATCATTCAAAGAACTTGCCAGCAAAATATTTACTACCTCTTACCAATATATGTACATTTACACAGGACTTTCAAAATTGCCAAATGTGAAGGTATAAATTATGCCACAAGAAAGCATTTTGTGATTGACCTCCGGATGAACCTGACGATGCCTGCAGTGTGGGCCTTTTGAATTCAAACTATTACCATTTTTGTTAGGATCCAAGAGTCTTATAAAATTCAAACTGAACTATACTCTAGAGTCTGTTCTAGCTCCAAAGTAGTTTATTAAATAAATTATGAGAATAAGAAGGAATTCTTTGAGCAGTGGCTAGCCCACCTTCTTCCTCTCCACCCTACCCGCCAAAAAACAAACAAAAAGACAAAAACAGACCAAAACAACACACACATACAAAACCACAGGCCAGTCCTTGAGCTCTGGGCAGTTCACAACAGTATGAATTTACTCCAAGGAGCCGCACTTTAAGATAAATAATAGGTATGCCCAGTGCTCAGTCAGGATGGCAGGGAATGGGACCCAGAGGATAGGTGAAGGGACTGAGGGACCTTCAATTGCCTAAAGAGAACATTCTCATATAACTGTAAGCCCCAGAGTCTCCAGACCAAAACACACCAACTACGCCCATTCAGTGCTTGAAGTCCCCTCAAAAACTACTCAACTGGTCACAGTCTACCCTTGAACACTACCAACAGCAGGGAACGCATTACCTTCTCAGTACTACCCCACTTCATACTGACAAGTTGAAATTCTTCCATTTATCAGGCGAAACCGCATCTCCTGGTTAACATCTACACATCCATTCCTTGAGAGTATACCCCATCCTTCGGGGGAGCAAATCTCTCCTAAGACACCCATTTAGGTATGACAGGAGCAGCCCCCAGGATCCTAATTGTCTTCCAGACTAGAAACCATCATCCCTCTGCCCACCACATGAATGCATTTTATGGCCCCCAATAAATGGCACTCAGAGGTGGACTTACTTTCCATTAAACTTCTAAGCTCATGCCCCTCAGAGGTTGCCCCTGAATCCTGACTTTTGTGCAACTGGTGTCAGAGCTAAAAGCAGGAGTTTATATTTATTCCTATTAAATTCTATCATTTTTAGCCTCAGCCCACAGCCCAAAGATGGGAAGATTCTTCTGATTCATAACTGCACACTTAGTGTCCTAAGACACTAAACAATCTCTGAAGAGCTGTCTGTCACATGGGAAGGATGTAGATCCACTATGGGGAAGTTCCAAAGAACATTCTGACTCAACATAAGAAAAAAATTTCTGCTACTTGAACTGCTCCACAAGGGGCAGGCTGTTCTAGCTGACAGGCAGCAGAGTCTTGCAGACAACATCTTCTCATTACTTCTGTAGGTATGAATCACAAGTTCCTGGTTATTTGGGGGAATGCAGTATTAACTAGCATTAATTGATCTATCTACTTAGTAAGTACAGCCAGTTTTAAATGCTCACATATTTTTATTCATTTACTACAAAGGAAAAGACCCTCTGTGTCCTGGTCTTGCAATTTTTGGTCAACTAGAGTTCAGCAGGATGGAATTACCTAATCTAGCAATGGGCCAGGACACAGTCCCAGAAACTACCAGATACACAATCCACAGAGTTATACAGGCCTTTGGTTTTACAACCCCATAGTAAGATGAAGACTTTACATATGGGCAAGAATTTCCTATCACAACACTGCGGCTGGCTGAGGAAAGCTCCCCATACTGGATACCAAAATAACTACCCTGGCACTCCATCTCTCAGGTTCCTTCCAGTCCAGTCCAAACTCCACCTTATCCTGGAAACTGGCCTTGTATCTACAGACTCTGAGAGTATCAACCACACTTTAGGAGAACCCTAAAAATGTGTGGAATTGGCTAACTGCCATGCAATCTACCTCAATTCTCAATCTATAGCAATAAGCAACTGATTATAATCAACATTAAAATCTAAACGAGTGAATTATGTACACAATGTCTGTACCTGCAGAGCTGATATCTTTACCTCCCCATACATATAAATCCTTTAAGTGAAGGAGTCAGCTTTCACTAAATTCAGTAAATAAAGAACACAGTGTTGGGGCAAGAGGTGGGAGAGGAAGGGAAGGGAGTTTATGAAGACTCCAACAGATCTGGGTTCCAAACCTACTCGCCCTCAAGTCATGGAGCTTAAACTACCGCAATTACTGTTGCGCCAACCTAATGACTCTGTCAGAAGCTCAGGTTTTCATTTGTTAAATACAGATAACAAAATCCATCCCAATACAGAAAAATGATTAAGGGATGGAGGGACTCTATTCCACAGGGTTGCCATAAAGATAGTAAGATCATGAGTGAAGGCGCTCTGTCATCTGTAAAACCATGAACAGACATTTGCTTATGTCCAAGTCCATCCTCTCTAGACAATGTTGTGTACCTTGTGATGGATGGTGAAGAAATGAGAGAGCTTCCTCTAACGGTTCACTTTGGGAAATTGATTTACAAAGGATCTCTTCTTCAAGGTCTTCAAATGACTGCATAGAAAATGTAAATTGGTAACAACACCTTTATTTCTAACACTCTTCTAAATCTGAATTTATTCACGGGTTCAACAGCTTCCAGATTCTTACGGGTAGTGTGGTTCAGGGTAGTAACCCTTTCCACAGAATGCCTTCAAGGAAAGAGAAGAGAAAAGTCTTGTTTGTTGGAATTTTTTTTTTTTGAGATGGAGTCTCACTCTATTGCCCAGGCTGGAGTGCAGTGGCACAATCTCAGCTCACTGCAACCTCCTCCTCCTGGGTTCAAGCACTTCTCCTGCCTCAGCCTCCCGAGTAGCTGGGATTACAGGTGTGCACCACCGCGCTCAGCTAATTTTTGTCTTTTTTAGTAGAGACAGGGTTTCACCACGTTGGCCAGGCTGGTCTGGAACTCCCGACCTCATGATCCGCCCGCCTCGGACTCCCAAAGTGCTGGGATTACAGGTGTGAGCCACCGTGCCCAGCTGGAAATACTTTTAAAAATATGTAGCCCCCATGTGCCTCAGTTTCCATCATAAACACTTTTCTGAAAGATCCTTTATTCCTTAAATGTTTCCCAAATGCACTCTAATAAATTCCAAAAACAAACTCTTACTACTATCCAAATATCCTGGTAACTGCCACAACAACCACATTCCCTAAATGGGTAATTCCTTCATCATAACCTACTGAGGCTTCAAAAAGAGTAACATGAGTACAGTGGAGATATCACATGTGCATTCAACCAATACACATTTTATTATAAAAGCCTGGGGATGACCAGGATAAGACGGTCCAATGCAGGTGCTCTGACACCAACTCTATCCAAACAAGCGATGAGATAGGACACAGGAATTTGCTGCTCCCTTGATCTTAATT